TTCTATTACCTTTTTTAGAGCTTAAATTTTCGTCTTTGAGCAACGCATAGTTAACTCTTAAAGAATATTTTTCACATATAAAACTCAAATTTACTGCAATTTTTTAACATTGAAGACATTTTAAAAACATTGGTCTTCGTGTCAAATAAAAACTAATAAGTACGTGACGAAATTTACGTATGTGCCCCTTGAACGCGGATTTTCCATTTAATTATGTAAAATCCGGAACCGGGGATGTCGATGATTCTCTTGTCGACCCTTCTCGGTCACCAGCCGACCCCTCATCTTAATGACGAATGTAAAGTGGGGTTGGTGTGTGGGGGCGTTCGATGAGCCGTGAGTGCACACAATGAACCCCCGTGTACACATTGGCACGCACGTACAGCGGCCTTAGTCAGCGGTATGCACCCCCAGGCCACGTGCAGGGGATGATGGAACGAATTTGCATGGATGGAATGGACTGTAGAGGACAAGGGGTGACTTCATTTGAACACGCGGCGTTGTAATTGAAACGCAGGAGGCAAGGCTTTGTGTTAGGTGTGTGTGAAGCAGCTTTGGTGATCCGGACTTTCATCAGTGAAAAAAAATATCGTCTGCGGGCAACGAAATAGAAGAGGGGTGGTGGATTAGTGACAATTGTCTTTGACGAGATTAAAAGTGTCCTGTAGTCAATAGCATCTGGAAGCTAATTTCAGATGCTGACATGGCAAAGATAGGCGTTAACAGCAAACGATTTTTGAAAGTGTTTTGCATTTTCTTTTTTTCGAATAAAGAAATAGTACATCAAAATAGTATTCTATAATAAATATTCTTTTCACTTGATCAGATAATAAATGTTGGAATGATAAACGAATACAAAACTATTTGCTTATAAATAATAATGTGGTGTGTAATTTTTTTCTGCTGCATACTTATTAGATACGAATACGGTAATATTCCGAACTTACGAGATAGGTGTGGCTGAGGGATAACCTCTTAAGTCAAATTCGCGTTAGTTGGGGTATAATTTCACTTACAAATACACATAAATTATTTTTAGTTGGGGGTGGAGACAAAAGAAAATAATAATTTAGGAAAAAAAAATGTTTAATAAAATCTTAAGAAACACAAATACAAAATCACATACCGAAGTTATTTGGATGTAGAAGGTTTCATAAAGTCTAACAAAGTAGCCTGCTGGCTCAAAGAATTTTGTCTCTCCCCCAAGATTTCCTCATATCATGCAAATAGGTATTTCCGTAACTTTGAAACCCTTTTTCAATTAAATTGATGCCTACTGTCAAATCCCCAGCCGTCATTCGATCTTCTGATTGAACTGGGTCTTTAAATTCAAGTTACTCAATGTCTTGCACTTGGTTATGCATTTCTATGAGTTCCTGACTCTGTGAATCCAGAAGTTCTTGAACGTCCTCACTGTCCACTTACAAATTTATTTGCCTGGAAAGATCGACAGATTCTTCAGTCACATTATCAGTTTCATCAGGCTTTGGCACTAATTTCGTCTCAGTTTCAGTGATGAAAAACAAAAAGCTAGTTGAAAATTGCGTAACTCCTAATTCGCGTTAGTCGGGTTAGCGTACGTCGCACGCGCACGAGGTATTACTGTATATCAGAAATTCATCATAGCAAAAATTCCGTGTTTTTGCAGTACAAGTACATGATTAGATCATTTGATTTTAATACGATTCGGTAGGATCTAATGTGCGCTAAAATTCTTTTCTGTATGAAATCCTTATTTGTTTTTGCTTGTAAACTGTTTGATTTGGAATCTTGCAGTTCTGGAACTTAAATCTTCATTTCTGCCTTTTTATATTCAAATTTTTTAAACGTGATTTTATAATTTTCTATTTTTTAAAATTTTTTTACTTCTATTGCTATGTTATAGATGTGTTTAATTGCTAGTATGTGTTTGCTTAATACTATGGACATTTAGATAGCTGTTTGGTCTACTCTACCTTGTTGTTTCACATTAAGTTAATCATCGTATTATTCCAGCTTATTACTGACGTATTATGCGTGCCACAGACGTATAACGCCCACGTATACTTTTTAACCCTGGAGCTTCCACCGCTCGATAGTAATGTTAGTGGTCGTAAGGGGTGACTGAGTCACCCCAATCTTTTTTTATAAGTATTCTTATTGTACACCATAAAAATTGTAATATTAGTGAATAATTTAAATAAAAGAAAGTATACTTATATAATTTTAAGCAATTTCTTTTATTTCATAATTTGAGAAAAAATTCAATCAAACTGAACTAAAATGTTTCAAATATGCTTGATTTTAATAAAAGCACAAATAACAGACACTTTTCGTTAACATTAAAGGAATAATATTTGCATGCAAAGTTGTCATATTTTGTTCTAGTTATTGTAGTTTTATTTTTTCTTCGATGACTGACAAATAGCATGTTGAATATTTCTTGATTGTGTCTTTTTGACAGGGCGCAATGTATCTTGTGGCTTCATATGCTTTTTGAATGAGTTCTTAAAGTAGCATTTGAAAATATTCTTTTCGACTCAAATGTTTCATGTTTATCTTTTTTCTCAAATTTACTATCGTTAGTATGAATAATCTCCATTATTTCATCAAGTTCTTCCCCTGCTTGATTAATTTTTTTTCCGAAGTTTCAAAACTTCATCAGATAGAGATCTCAGATGTCCATTTCCTTTTTATATTCTGTTAATTTACATTTATGAACCATAATGAGTAGTGTAATACAGCAATCAAACAAATGTTGTTCACAGGAGAAAATATAGCCTGTTCATAGAAAATATTTAGGAAGAAAAGTGTGGTCCGAGGGGACTAGTCGTCCCAAGTAGCTCAAGATTGTAAAAAAACGTTTGCCACACCCAAAAAGAGAGGGAAATATGCGACAATTACGTTTTAATTCTCAAGAAGATTGTCACATATAGTAGGATATGACAAGATCATTAGGGAGTTTTCCAGAATTAAAGATTTCATGAGCTTGGGGTGACTCTGTACCCCACGCAACTGCTCTCTGCGTTAATACGATTTAAATGTCAATTAATCTGATTATTAAAAAAATATTTATATGTAAATTATATGGTTACTTACGTACTATCGCAACAGTGATAACGTTCAAGATAACTCGCCGAGTTGGCAATCCCGATTTCTTATGTGTCGTACGCGCTGAATTAGCAACCATGTATTTCGTTTCATATAATGCCGCCAATATGATTCGATAATACGTAAGTACTGCAACTTGGCTATCGTGGTCACATCTACATAGGAATATCAAAGGAAGAGTGAGGGTTAGTGGTGTAACGGAGAATTTTAGGGCCCTCCTGCAAACTCAGGTTGGCAAATACGTACTTTGCGTCAGACAAGCTTTGGACCCCCTAGAGCAGTGATGCGCAACCCCCGGTCCATGGATCAAATTGCCGGCCCAAAAGAACTTTAAAACTTTGCTTTTTTATTTAAAGTGGTGTTTTTCTCTCAATTTGGCACCCCACGGAAATCACTTTATACTACGTTAAATACTGTTATTTTTTTGGATATCTATATTTTATTCTGAAGGATTTAAAAAAGAAATTTTTTAAAAATCAAAACAATCGAAATATAAACAATGAACTGTTCCCACCCCCACGGGCCGTGGTAAAATTTCAAACGTTGGGGCCCCAGGATAAAAGGTTGCGGACGCTTAGAAAATGGGCCCCCCAAATGGGGGGCATTCCCCATTGATGGGTTTTATTGACATCACACTATAAAGCAACACGAGGGCTACTGGCGATGGTTCTTGTAATTTTGATCCACGGTCAAGCGCCAAAGGCGCCCCCTGCACTCTCTAACTACCATAACACGAACGGGGGATCGTCCTCTTTCTACCAGGGAAAATTCATTGGCCCCGGCCTTGAAACTGCAAACCCCATTTCCCGTTCCTTAACTACTATAGTCTACCGCGGCCTAATTACCAATTATAATTCATTCTATTTTGAGTAACATATTTTTTTCTATTATAAGCTTTCAAGTTTGAGTTACAGAAGGGTTTTTCCTTATAATCGTGTTTTGCTTCCTTACTAGAAATCTAGATTTTACGCGATGCGTGACTTATTTATAGAAACATTACCAAAGTTTGGAGTGCATTAGGGTTTGATCGTGACCAGAGGTACATCGAAGACTAAGTTAGAGAACTATTGGTCTAATGGCTTTAATCGATATTGATTGCGTGATATATGTACTCGAGTTTCTGAGGCCCTCTTTGATTTGCGATAGACAAATGATAATACATTTGTAAGTAGCTGCAAGGATTGAAATTCAAAATTTGATTTCAAGAAAGATCATCACATGGGATTGATACTCATTAAAATTAGCTACAGCTCCACATATTTGGGTGACATTGTGTTAAAGTCTGATGAAATATTAGAGTTCAGAAATCATCTGAACGTAGTATGATGGACTTGAAAAGTTCCCGTGAAGATATTTATGTGTGTAAATACTTAAATTATATTAATATAAATAGTTATGAGTTTCTTTTATGGTTACATTGATGCTAATTTGTCTAAAATGATTCAAATAAAAAATTATTAATATTATATTACAAATGGCAAATTTTTTTTTCCATACAAAAGACTGTTTATACATCCCTACTGTTTCTATCTACTTATTTTATTTGAGATGAATTTTTACATACAATAAATTCTTTCTCTACATCTCATAACTGGTAACTTTCTCCACAGAGACTGAACAAATTCTTTTTTTTTCCTTCTCTCTCTGTCTATTCTATATATATTAAGATAGATCACGGTTATATATATATATATATATATATATACAGAGTATACCTTATTCAAATTTTCAATCGTTTATAAAATACTTTCTATTCACCCATTAAAGTTAAATACATTTTTTTAAATATGACACTTGATGTTAATACATTTTTTCAAATATCAATTCATTAATTAAAATAAAAAATGAGTAAATAGCAACAAACAAAAATAATAGTCCAACAGCATATATAGAAGGGAAAATTGTTCGTTGTTTCCCTGTAGCGCAATGGATCGTGCGTTGGACTTCTAACCCAAAGGTTGTGGTTTCGAATTCCACCTGGAATGGCCTAATTTCTAAGAATATATTTCTTTTTTATTATACTATTTTATGGAAATAATTAAATTTAAGGAATGAGGATAAATAGAAACAAAAGAAATAAATAGTTCAACACCCTATATAGAAAAAAAATGGAAAATTGCAAGGAAAATCGCTTTCTATATTGTCACTTAATATTGTGATTCTGTCATATTTATATACATATTTATATTAATTATAACTATTTAATAAAAAAATAACTAAAAGAAATTATTTCTTTGTTGACCTAAATAGGAATGGACTTATTTTTTTTATATTACTTGTTATCAGTAGCGCACACAGGAATTTTTCAAGGGGGTCCGGGGTTGAAAGTTCATCATTCTTGTATCATGCTATTTTTGATTTTGTCGATTTTCAGGAACAAAACACAGTAAAAAACCAATTATTGAACAAATAAAATTAGCATTAATTAATAAAATTAATCATTAATAACAATTATTTTAATTAAATTTTACGTATTTTATACTTAGAATTATAAACAATCGGGAAAAAAATCAAGGTCTTTTGGGGGGTCCGGAACCCAGGACCCTTGTGTGCGCCACTGCTTGTTATGGATTATCATTCCATTTTCATTTCTTCTCAAGCAACAAATTACACATTGCCTAGCTAATGCCTGCTCTGTACCGAATATTTTCAAGAATCTGAATTCCTGCCTTCAATAAAAAATTCCTGTCTTTATCACAAAGAAAATCCCAGATGAGAAGTATTTCAGTACATTGGTTAAACTACATCTCTTATAAAACACTACTATCAATCTCACTATAAGAATGAAAAATAGTTGCAAATCAAAGATAGAAAAAGAAAATATCAGTTCTGGTACAGCGTACGGGCAAACCGATTGGCTGAACTTCGGTAACGCGTACGGTGTAAGTCAGTGCTTCTCAAACTTTCGATATTTGCGACCCAATTTTCATTCATAATTTTCATCGCGCCCCCTCCATACAATAACAATGTATTGATATAGTAATAATGTGTAATACTTTGACGCTATAAGGCTACAATACGATCTTAATTATAAACTGTACTAATCATCAAGTATTAAATTTTGTATGCATTTTTTTTTTGTTTTTGTTTTTGTATATGATAAGCCCATGGAAAAAGATCACTAGAAATTATTTAATATGTTCTTAAGGTATGTGACTACCCAAAATTCGCCATTTTGTTGAATATTTTTGAAATTCCTTTTATGATTTTGTTTTATAGCCCATACATTTAAGATTCCAAAAACACTCTATTCTTTTTTCTACAATATCTAGAAGCAAAGTTATAGCATAATTAGTAAACCGGAAATGGAGTTTACAAAACGGAAGTAGATCCCTACACAAAACATTTTTAAGATATAAAATTGAAAATTTCAAAACCTGTTTTATTTAGTTCTATCTGTGTTATAAATCAAAATCTAATCTCTGTGTATATATTTATGTAGTTTATTGCTTTTTTATGAAAAAAAAATCATTAATTTTTTAGAAAATCGTGTTTTTGCATAAAAATTGGCATATTTAAAAAACTTTCAAAAGTATCACAAATCTTTTATTTTCTAACATATATAAAGATGTAATACAGGTACTGTATAAATATTATTTGAATACATTTATTAGAATTTTGTGTAACTGCAATTTTTCATCAAAATTTCACTAAAAACGACAATTATTATAGTCTATAAAACTCTCCAGAAAACATCAAAAGGTTACAAAAAAAGTCCAAATTAGTTAAACATGAAGCTAAAGAGGTCTTGACTTATAAGTATGGTGAATTTAAAAAAATGTACAATTAGTAGAAAATTTTTTATACTGAATTAAAATCTTTAAATGCATTTTCTGAGAAACCAAGTTTTTCAATTTCTTGCTTCACGGTAAAGTTCACTAAAGGTTTTCATTTTAAGATACTGAATTGAAATTTTCAGAAAAAGTATTATTTAGTTTTATCTGTAGTCTAGACTATTATCTAATCTCTGTGTATATATTTATGCATTTTATTGCACTTTTTGTGAAAAATTAACATTAGTTTCTTGTAAAAAATTGAGTTCTTGCATAAAAAATGACATATTTCAAAAACTTTCAAAATTATTACAATTCTTATAGTTCCAATTATAAATAAGGATGTTATTTACGTAGTGTATAAATATTACTCAAATATATTATTTAGAATTTTCAATACAAGCCTTACCGTAACTGCAATTTTTCACTAAAATTTCACTCAAAACTCCCAATATATTCAAAATTATTTTTAATTTTGTGGAAATTGTACTTGAATTCCTAGTTTTATGCCCCATTTCATCTAAAAAAGTGTTTATTTCGTTGAAAATTTATATATTTCAAAAAAAGTGCTCCGAAGGTAGTCACATACTTTAACTTATTATTGATACTTAGTATCAAATACATTGTGCCCTACTGATATATTTACTTGTATAAGTATAGTATATCAGAGTAAATGTGTATTTTATTTTTTATTATTTCAGAATATATTTTGTTTTGCTTACGATTAGTAAATTGATAACTTTTTAAATAATCTTTTATTTTCGATTTTCGATATGCTCGCCCCCTTTTAAGGTTATCATGCCCCCTTAGGGGGGCGCGCCCCACAGTTTGAGAAACACTGGTGTATGGACTAACCAGCTGTTAGTGGTGACTATGTTGAGAAATGAGTTTACAGTATGTAAGAGTAATAAATTTCCTTCACACTGATACCTCTGTTACTATTTTACCTTGTCGGAAACTTATTTTATGCTATTGGAGACCTTAATTATCAATCACCCCATGTAATTGCTTAGTTTGGCTGTTATGCTATGCATTTCATTTTCTCCATTTAATAACGAATTTGTAAACCTAAGCACGGTTTTCTTTTGAAAAATAAAAATTCATCCAGAAAAAAGAGAAAATTCTGAAGAAGAAATCGTACGACAGCTGCATTTGGAATAGGATTAATCATAAAATATTCAAAATATCATGATTACTTGCTAAAAAAAAGGAAACAATAACAGATAAGATTTCAAAGAACAATGCAGATAAGATTTTTTTGCTTTAGTTTTCACTTTTGTGTTATTGTTTTGTATGTAAATTAGATTTATACGTTTTATCAAAAGTTTATCTTTGTCTTCATTATAATTAACTACTTTCGTGTATTCGTATTTGAAATTGAATATATAATTGTGTAGTTATATAATGAAGAGAAGGATTTCTTTTCCTTTGCATTTAACTATATCCATTTATCTTATGAATTGGAGTTAAATAAATAAATCTTATTTATTTATTTATACAAACTCCATTAGAAAATTTCAAATTGAGATGTAACAAAAAGGAGATACAAAACTTAAATTTTAACAATATTTGATTCACAATCTAATAATAAACTTAAATCCGGACCCATCGGACTTCAAACTGTTTTTATTTTTCCCTCTTGTTTTTCTTCTAGATAATCTGTGAAGTACATTGTAAACAGTTATTAAATAATATAAGATTTCTATTTGTATAAGCCACCTTTGAGAAATTAAAAGGAGAAAATGATATTACTAAAAGTATAATTTCACAAGTTACCTAAATACATATAGTTATTACTGAATGTGAAGAATATATAATTAATCGAAATATTTGATACATTTTTGTGTATCCTGCATGAATTAAAAAATAATCATCATTTACTACTAAATGAACAATAAAATTTTTAATAAAACCACACAATGATAATTCTCTAATTAATCTGATTAGAACTATCACACAAATATTGGTACCCGTTGTAAAGACTGAAGAAATAGCCCTTTTTGGTGAGAGGGCTCAACACAGAAACGCTGAATTCAGTTAGTGCCAAATGGCAACATTAAGAAGAAGGGGAAGAAATAAAAAAACGGGATGTTGTGTGAGGTGTGAAAAAACGCTTGAAATTTTAAATGTTTTTCTTAGTGTTTGTAAATGTATGTATGTTCTGTATTGTGATCAGTATATATGAGAAATTAATAAACCGATTTTGGTTTAATACTGCCTTTTCCATGAGAAAATAATCTACACACTCTACCACTACTCACTACGTGTTACACCGTAATCGTTTAGGGTTAAAAAGATAACAAACTTCATGGCCAACTCCATGAAATGATTTATAGATTCAAGTCCTGAGTACCATTAGAACACCAGATGTTTGAGCACTAAAAATTAAAAGTCCTTACAAAGTGAGATAGAGAACTTGGAAGAATTAGGAACCAGAGCTCAATTGAAGAATTAGCGTTTCTGTCATTTATCGCCATCAGATAATTCGTATTTCTTCAAATCTGCCTTATTCCAAGTCAACCAAATTTTATTATAATTTCAAATTTGTAAATTATATTTTGTTAAACATGTATATTATAGTAGTTCTCATCAATTAACAACTAGCTTCGAATCATAATAAATAGCGGTATTAGCTAGTATTATAGTCACTGACTCTCAGCTGGAGTGTCTCGAGCCCTTGTATAACTGAAGACCCGCTGTGTAGAAAGGTTGATTCACGTTAAATCTGTCCAATCTCAAAATTCTCCCGTAGGATTAGTGTGTGTGTGTGTGCATATATATCTCTCTTTTACACTCTCAGTAACTTTTTTTTTTACACGGTCGATTCGTTCGTAAGAAATCGTGTAAGACATGGGTACTCAAACTTTTTTTTCTACTGGGCCACATACATAGGTCAGCTATTTTACGCGGGCCGCAACCTGAGGATAAATGAGGGGAAGAAATTCTTTAAGACTAAGGAAATTTAAAATATGGAAAATTTATCAAAATATTACAAATCCTGTTTTGTTTTTTAATTATTATTTTTTATTTTCGTCTCTAACACTAAATTAGAAGCATTTAAGAAACACTCCTTCAAAATTTCTGCATCATTAAACGGCTTCATATGATTACCAATAATATAAAAAACTTCATAGGATGTCTTTGTTATCACTGTGATATTACCACTGACAAAATACTTTGTTGCTGTTGCAAAGATTATTCAAGAAAACCTA